GCAGCACATGGCACAGCCTGCGCCTGCATTTATGGCCTCAGCCTGCGCCTTCTCACAAGTGCCATGTTTGGGCTGGATGCCTTCAGGAGCACAATGGCCCTTTCCCATCACAGGCTTTATACAGCAGGTGCCACATGCTAAATCTCACATCCCAGCTTTCTGGACAGAGGCCTTTTCCTCATCACAAAGCACATGCATGGATTCTATGATGGCTGAGGAGATGGAGGAGACACAGATGAAGCCTTGCCCAAGCTGGCCACAACATCCTGCATGGAGCTGAGCCTGCACCGCCAGAGCAAGAACAGCCTGTGCCAGAGAAAGGACAGAGGAGTGTGGGAACTCAGGGCAAGGAGCCAGACAGGAACATGCTCTTCCACATCTGGAGACTTCCAGGTCATGGCCTGAGTGGTGCAGGGGGAGGAAGAGCAGCAATGCATTAAGGCAAGGGCAGGCAGTCACACTCCTGAGAAGAGGGAAGTTTCAGCTCCCTGCCCCAGCTTCCCTGCAACTGCTCTGGAGGCTTTCATAAAGAGGGAGAAAGCCTTGACTGAAACACAAGCTCAGGTCTCTACTGAAAGCTCTGCAGACCAACAACCACTTATCTCAGCCGTAACAAAGGCATGAGGAAGTTCATCAGAGACACCTGATCTCTATCCGTCATCAAGAGATCAGCTCTCATTGTGGTCAGTGCCTCTTTCTGTGCAGATGTGAATTTGAGGCAGCTCTATGCTTTGGGAACTAGTTTGCCACACAATTTTTTTCAGCATTCCTCCTAGAAAGAGAGTACCTGTCTAACGATCCTATCCAAGGACGACTCAGCCTCTGCTGAAGCAGCACAAAAACATCCTTTCCCAGAGGAGCTCTGCTGCCCCTCACTAGTGGTGAGCCCCTTCACAAGCCCATGCAAGGCTCAGCTACACTATGAAGCAAAGGCTTCAACACCAAAGAGCATTATCAGGGTGTCATAGGCTCTGTGTCATGTCACAGGTAGACATGAACTGCCTCCATACTCCCTTTTTCTCTTCCACATTGCCCTCACAATTGCATTTACCACTCTACTGCCCCTGTGAGCTTCACTGACCTACCTGGGAAGCACTAGTTCTTTGTTCCTTTTTAGACTCCACATTGACATCCACATTCTCCCCCAACTCTATTCTCTTTTATCCCCAAATAAGAAATATTGAACAATATTAAAAAAACAAACAAAACAAAACAAAACAAAAAATCATTAACTAAAGGGCAACTCAGTTTAACACCACCTGGCTGGAAGATACGATCAAGAATTGGAGCAGATAACTCATCATACTTAATTGATCATTAACTGGTTAAATTTATTGCAATCTCTGCTTGATCAACAGCTGTTCTATGACTGCCTTTGGTCCAGCAGTGCATTCAAATGTTTATCAAAACAAAAAAATTTGCTTAAGTATAAGGTAGAGTTATGGCAGACAAAACTCTAAAGAATAAGCATATTGTTTTAGTGACTATAATAGTTAACCAAACTTTTGCTCCTGCAGTACCAGACCTTCAGATTTCAGGTTTTTTAACATGCAGACTCAGTCCTTGAAGCATAAAACTTGTACTGCTAGTTGCACTGCTGCTACTTGTCATGCTATTTCATTCTTACTTCCCATTATTTTTTTGAGGCACTTGCTGAATGAAGAGACCAAATTCTGCTGTGGAATTTAGCAACAATTTTGCCATAGAAACAGGAACAAATGCAGTGTTGAAAAATTATTTTGTGGAAATCTAACATCTATAAGATATTATGTCTATATTAGCCTATTATTACTGTAGAGTTGTATTAACATCACCCCGTTCATTTATTTACTATTATCAACCATGTTGGTTACAGCATTGCTCTAAGGGCCTTTGAGGAGCATGACCCATTATATTAGGCACGGCACAACTGTGGAACAGTCATAAGCACCCTCAAATGAATCCCTACTTGAATAACCTAATGATTTCAGAAGGAAATGTCTTTTTATAAACAAAATATTCACCAGGAAAAATAACAAACTGACAAAGAATAATTCTGATTTGATAGTTGTAAGAAGTGGCATCTGCCTTTCTTAAAATCTTCTGGGCTTTTTTTTTTTTTTTTCTCCACTGTGATAATGATTAGTAAGTTAAAAGAAAACTGCAAACGCATTTCCCTAATATAATCAGTTTTGAAGAGCCAACATACTGTGGAACAGAGATCCCAAATATTGAAATTTCACTTTCTGGACTGTTTTAATGACCAGTTCTTCTCCTATGAAGTAGCTCATAAGAGTGTTGTTACCACAAATAAATATGATACGGGGTGGTCACTGCAAAAATCTTACGTTCTTGACTTTGCCACGATGTAATTGCCAGAGATTTCTGACTCTGAAACAGGATGGGCTCAACTGAATTGAGGACACATGACTCTCTGAAAGTCCACTGACGCTTTACTCAAACAAAAAAAAAAATAAGATCAAGGCATCAAACAGCTGTGCTTACTGGAACGAGAGGCAAAGTTGCTTTGAAAACTACTCATCAGAAGAAAAATGATGAACCAAAAAACCAGAAATTTAAAAACCTAGTATTAAAAAAAATGAGATGAAGACTCATCTAATGTCTTGAAAATACTGCTTCTGTATTAACACCAGGAGTTAGGTTTTTTCCCCCAGTTTACACTAACCAGTAAAATCTGGACTGAATGCTGGACTGAAATACTTCCATTTAAAGTGATACAACAATTTGAGGTCTCTGGCCACTAGGTTTTCAGATGGGAAAGGCCCAGCCCTGAATAAGGTTATTTGATCAACTAGAAAAGCTCTGGCCTTTCAAGTGCTAAAATCATTAAACTCTTGTTGCAGAAAAATAATCTGATAAAGAAAAAAACAAAACAAACAAACAAAAAAACCCACAACAAACCCACCACATTTCTATCAATTCAATTTTTTTTAAAGGAAACCCTGCATCTTTAGCATACTTCAAATCCCACTGACTGATGTATGTGAAGTTTGGGATCGTTTTGCAACAGCCAATTGGGCAGTCGCCTGGCTCAGAACAAGCCTGAATTTGAGTCACACTGGTAGAGACAAATCCTGCAAAACCTTCCTTGCTTCATATCATGAAGGTGAAATACCTCTAAATTAGAACTTCAGAGCTGGTGTGGGGCTAATTCTGTTAAGTTTTGCTAAGAGTTCTCTGCTGTAAAATATAATGTAAGTAATTTGTATGTATTCTCCTACCCCAGCATTCGCAATGTATGGAATTTGCCTTAGGCAGTACTAAGTGAGACAGGGAGTGGCTGTTTTATTTTGTAATATTCTGTACACTCAGATGAGTTATTGGCTCCTGTTTCTGATTACCACACCAAGCAAGATGCTTTTACTGATGCACTGGTAGTTTAAGAGGGTTTTTCTCTTATAATAGAAAATTATGCAGTCGTTTAGGTCAAATATGGGGGAAAAAGAATAGAGGGAAGGAAACTGCTTTTTTCCCCTACAAAATCACAGCACTGATTTTATACTCATATATATTTTATCCCACAGGATTTTTGCCACTAACTTAAGTGAGAGTTAGGCTTGAGCCTTCAGAGCTAGTCATTCCTGCTTCACTAGAGGTTAGCAGAAGATCTTTCATTACCTTCACAGAAGGCCCTGTGTAAACTAGAAAATTTGCTCCTGCAATTCCTGATTCACTAGAGTGGTCTAATATTAATTACTTCAGATTACCTATGGTAAGCTCTTTGAGGACTAGGACCTCAGTTTGCATCTTCAAGTTGGGGGAAAAATATTTGGGCTCCAAATATTGGAGTATTTTTTAAGTGTCATATATATTGTAAGATCTTCTACATATCATCGTAACTTTGTAAAAAAGGTTAATTTATGGGCTGTAGTTAAAACCTTCATAAACTTTTCAAGTTAATTCCCACCATATTTTACTTTATCATGCACAGTGACACGTCAGTATTATCTCGATATACCTGCTAAGTTTAACACTTTTCAAACAACACCTTGTATTTGTGACAGTTAAAAATAAACACAAGGTTTTACCCATGAGAAAAAAAAAAAAAAGAGGAGTACCAGGATCATGGTTAAGATTCCTTTTCTCGGAAATGAATTCCCTGAGTTACTGGGAGTTTAAAATGGTTTAAATGTGTTTGATGGAAAATTATTACAAAAACCTTGCAATATAATTTGCTCTGTACACGAGGAAATTTGCAACTACTGAATCTATAAAAACAGCACTTACTCACAAGCTTTCTAAACTGCACAGAGAAAGAGTCCTACCCACTGGCAAATTTCATAATTCCACATTAGCAAACTCAATTACAATATCCACTGCAAATAGCATATCAGTGCATCATAGTTAGAGCAATCAGCTTGCTTTCTTCCAAATGGGATATCATGGCCCTGAACTCAACCACACTGAGAAACAGCACAGAGTTTGGAGAGGAATCACGCAGATTTGCAACAAACCATTTTGCGTTATGGTAGAGAAGCAGCAGAGGTGGTGGATGGGCTCATGCACTGTTCAGAAACCTGGAAACCCACCATCCACATGGTCAATATGCCAGGAGAGTTTGAAAGCTCACAAAAACAAAATAATAAATAGAGTGATATCTGACCAAAAGATGCCATTTTCTCCTTACTTTCCAAAATGCTGCTTGCTATTGAGTTAAATGCTTTTATTGATACCAAACGCCTCAAACAAGCTTTACAGCTTCCAGTACCCACAAACTCAGCATAAAGGGACTAATACAGAAGGCAATCGCCTACTCCCAAAGATCTTGTACCTAGGCTGACTTCCTCTCTCTTGATTGCTTTGCTTCGATCATTCCTTAGTGTTGGTGAACAAGAGTGAGTTTGGATATTTTTTCCCATACTCTGCAAAACTTCAACAGGGGAAAAAATCCCCGCCAGAGAGAAGCTGTTAGCCGGGAATTCTCTTGCTGGTTGTGACCGCTGCCCGGAA